AAATAAAGCATCCAAAAGTGGAATGTCAGAAAACGACAGAACATTCTGAAACACCTAATACATTCTCTCTATCTAGTCATGTTTCTGGTGATTTGTATAACATCGAATAATTGATTCAGATGTACAATCGTGAGAACTACCGCAAAAAAAGACCATTGACTTCTGGAAAAAGCAGTTTCTACAAAAAATACTCACACTCTTAATCTTACTACTCCTGAGTGTTTCCTGAAATGAAAAAAAAACTAATACACAAAAGCGAAGTAAATCAGTCAATAGCAAGCAATTTATGTGCGCGACTAATATTTTCGACCCTCTTCCGTCTCTAGCACGAGTCTGTCTATTACATTCTGACCTCAAACTCTGTGCATTTGAGTCCCCTTTCTGATCATACTTCAACCACTCTTTCCTTTATCTTGTTCTACCTGTCTCGCTAGAAGTTCTATGTATTGTTTTTTAAAACCTGTCGAGCTGCGCACGATACCGAGCGCAATAGTTGGCTGCGGAGAGCAGACTTATTCGTGGGATGATCTTGAGCTGAGTTTCGCAAAAATGCAGCAGTTTGCGTTCGAGTCTCCTTCTCTGTTTCGGCTAACGTTGATGGATGTGTAGGGAGAATTTGCAGAGATATTAATAATAAGTAGGCTAAAAGTCCTGATGTATGTACGACAGCGCGTGTGCACTATTCGGAGGGGTCGCATATTCGAATTAGGGAGTTTAGGATAGAGGAGTAGATTGAGATCTTAGCGTTACTCCTGCAGAAATTTGCCGGTTCATTTTGCAGGGAACAGGTTATAAAGGTGTCAAGCAGTCTCAGAATGAAATGCTATAGAAATAAAAAATAGTGAGAGTGGGGTAGGGAAAGGAGGTGGCTTTTTTGAAATTCTGCGAACCTCACACTTCACCCTTGCCCCGATAGCTCGTGCTCTACCCACTACAAACTTGACCCGCCCTTTATAGGTACCAGTTTGGCTGCGCACGCATTCGCGTGCATGAGACGGGGCTGCAGCGGTAAAATCGGGCCCATCAGTATTTTTGTCTTGATTTTAGCTTTCTGCTCGGTACATCTTACTTACGCCGCAAACTCCGCCCACATCCGGGTGTGCCACGCCCAGCGTTCACATTCAAACCTCTACTCCTACTTTCACCTCAGGCGTATTTTTTTCAGGTCTCTAAGTCATCTCGGAGCCGAATTATGAGGTCTTGTAAATGGCGTTATGAGTCACGAATTTCTGAGGCAGACCCCGCCCACTTTGGTGCATGGTTAGCCCAACAATGGCATTCAACCCTACTCCATACCTCAATACTTATGCACATTTTCCCCGGTCGCCGGAACTTCTAGGAACCGAGTTATGAGAGCGGTGGCAAACTCCGCCCACATCCGGGTGTGCCACGCCCAGCGTTCACATTCAACCTCTACTCCTACTTTCACCTCAGGCATATTTTTTTCAGGTCTCTAAGTCATCTCGGAGCCGAATTATGAGGTCTTGTAAATGGCGTTATGAGTCACGAATTTCTGAGGCAGACCCCGCCCACTTTGGTGCATGGTTAGCCCAACAATGGCATTCAACCCTACTCCATACCTCAATACTTATGCACATTTTCCCCGGTCGCCGGAACTTCTAGGAACCGAGTTATGAGAGCGGTGGCAAACTCCGCCCACATCCGGGTGTGCCACGCCCAGCGTTCACATTCAACCTCTACTCCTACTTTCACCTCTGGCGTATTTTTTTTTCAGGTCTCTAAGTCATCTCGGAGCCGAATTATGAGGTCTTGTAGGGGACGAAATCGAGCAACGTATCGTTGTGGTAAACCCCGCCCACTTCGTTACATGCCTCGCTCACCGATACCAAATGACTATCATCTCTTCCCCAACCTCATTCTACTATTTTCCCATCTCCGGAACTTATTGGATCCGAGTTATGAAGTACCGTGGCAAACTCCGCCCACTTTAATGCATGCTCCACCTGCCCACAGCACTTGACCCCCTTCCCTCCAACACTACTTTTCCCCACACCCCGGGACTCATAGGAACCGAGTTATGAGGCTGGTTGCAAACTCCGCCCACTTTGGTGTAAGCTACGCCCAGCCTTGACATTTAGCTTCTCCTCTTCTCCTAACCTGTATCCACTGTTTTCAGGTTTCCAAGTCATCTCAGAGCCGATTTATGAGCTCTTGTAGAAAACGTCGTCTACTTCAGGACACGCTCCGCCCATTGTGGGCGGACCTCCGTTCACATCATGTGTGCTGGAAATACCTTAGACATCGCTGCCCTGCACTAATTTCTTTTCTGCTCTGTAGGCTTCCTCCTAACCTAGTTATTGATATTTTTATTGAGCACCGCTTTTCCAGAGAACGCCCCGCCCACCGAGGGTGGGTCCCAATGCAATCTGGCTTACCGAATGACCGATCCGCTACATTTATAACACCACTATTGTTCCATCTCGAGCGTTTTGCTTTATGAATCAACGAATGCAGCGCCACGTCCCACTGGGCGGCTCCCGCTGCTATCTGTTATTTTACTTCTAGGCGATTCATGGTATACCATACCAAACATTACCTGGCCCTATAGGTGTTTTCGCTTATACCGAATTTCTTGACGCAACGGACAGACAGAACAATACGCATAATACATTATAGGTGATTTTTGAAGCAAAATTACAAATATGTGGGGGACACTTGCGAATTTTAGGGGAGCGGACAGGCAAAACAACTCTGGTTTATGTATTAGTATGACCTACAGACAACTGACGGGTATAACGTCAGGAATACTAACCCAAAAACAGCAACACCCACTCAAGGTTTCTTATTATGAAATGAAAGTAGGTTACTGCCATTAAGCTATGATATCGCTCAACTGCATTTGTAATTCTCAATCGAAGACGCTCTCCAAAATGCGTAAGCGAGTCGTGGAAGTTGGAGGAAGTTGAATTTGCGATATCATGAAATACCGAGGTACTAATGAGATCATTGTGAGAGATGTAATATCAAGAGCGGAATTACCATCTATCGCTAAATCAAGACTATACCAAAGCGCATAAATGGCCAAGCTCATAATGCATGTGCACTACTCTATAAGCAGTAACATAACACCCATCACAAGTGTGCATCTAGTAGATATGAAAAATGTTACAATTCGAAACCTAGAGTAGCACAAATCCACGTAGCGGAATATGAACATACCAATTTGGCTTTACTTGCGCAAGGAGTAGAGGGAGCCGTCAACTGAAACAATCTTTGAAATATCAGTCCCCATTGTGATAATTTTCACAGAACACTTTCAGTTCGAGTGAGCCAGAGTATCTCTATTAAAATAAAAAAGTTATGAAGTTACCGGTGTTTTTGCTGGACGTCCCGGTTCCAGTCTGAAGGGAAAAACTTCATAATACAGAGAAATCAAGTATAAAAAAATGCAAAATGATGCAGATGACCTAGTCTATGAAATACTGTGGCGTTCAAAAGTTTTTGGTGGATCCCTTTTTCGACCGCAGCTTTCTTTCTGCCGAATCGAATCATTTCTTATTCTAGTAGGATTTGTTTTATCTTCTTCAGCACATTAGTGTTGGATGGAAGAAAGGCTTAATTATGAGGAAAATCATTTCACTTGGAATTCTCGAACATGACCAAATTATCAAATATATTTCAAGTCAATGTAAAAAGCTTAAAATTCAACAGAACATTCGATCGCATGATGAAATATACAGTGCGCGTCAATTGTATATGCCACCCCCTGATTTTTTCAGTTTTCTGACTTATTTGGAAATTTCGTAAATCGGCATAGCAACCATCGTTTTCGGCGTGTCGGAAAACTAAGAATGGTGTTGTTTGATTTTGGTTAACGCGTGGATTTGAATTGCTCTGTTCTTTTGAAGAAAATGGGCCGCGTCAATTGCTTATGCCATCCTAAAGTTTCTTCAGAATTTCTCATGTCTCTAACGCTATTCAGCTACGGTGTGCATGTAATACAAATGAGGAAATCCTCCACTTATGCAATGCACACAAATGGTGGAGCATTTATAACTGATTAGTTCGGAATATTAGCCCTTATACTGGACGGTAGCAGCATGAAAACGCTTTATCAGAGAAAGAGCTGTGTGCTCACTTTGCGATCGCTCCTGCTGCTTATTGTAGAACTCATCGAGGAGTGTATCCAGGCAAAACTGGGGAAATTGAAGTGCTCAAGGAGCTCTTAAACATTTTCCCGCTTCGAATCCGTGGTCAACTTTATTTGTGGTCTCGGCTCCCTGCGAAGCTCGAAGCGTTCACGCTCACAAAGTCTCTTTTTAGAGAGAACATGACTCGTACCTACTACCCGTCTGGTACCCATCACTGAACTCGATCGAAGTTTTCTTATCAAGGCGATGCAATGATGGCCCATGCCACCACTTCGGGAATCCGACCATGTTCGGCGATGGGTACTACGCGGATTGTGAGTGCAACTCATATTCTCTCTGAACAGAGACTTTGTGAGCGTGAACACTTCGAGCTTCGCAGGAGCCGAGAGCACAAGTAAAGTTGACCACGGACTTGGAGCGGGAAAATGAGAATT